AAGGAATGCGATCTGGCAGACATTAATTGTTAGTCCTCACGACGTCAACGTGATGATGTAAAATATAAGCCGCGGGTGAGCGCCTGTCGGAGAGAAAACAGTTGTTGAGTAGCGGCGAGGAGGGCAGTTGGCAGTTGCGGAACAGTTGTTGCGAGTGTGCGAGCCGAGAGAAGAGAGAGAGGAGGAGTTTGCGAGTAAGAGAGCAGGAGAAAGAGAGGAGAGAGAGCGTGCGCGCGGCGCGCCGGCGCGCGTTCGCCGCGTTGAGAGTGAACACAGTTTTGAGGACTCGCCAACATTGAGAGTTGTGCAGGGGACGAGAAACCCAGTTGTTTGCGAGGGTTGTGAGTCGCCAGTTGACTGTCGGAGAATGCGAGGTTAGCAGTCGGAGTCGAACAAAGAGGTGTAGACGCCAAGCGTTTAGCAAGCGGAGTTAGGAGTGAAACAGGTACAGGTAGAGGAGAAGAAGAGGAGAGAGAGCAGAGACGAGAGACAGGAGAGAGAGAGAGAGAGAGAGAGAATGGCGCGTGTGAGAGAGAGAGAATATGAGCCTGTGAGTTAAGCGTTAGCGCCCGCCGACTTATTGTAACGTAATATCCGAGCATTGGCTCTCTGCGGTGTGTAAACTACATAATTGGTTGCGTCTGGGTGTCAACCCGCCGTAATAACAGCCGGGCTTGCCCGTCATATTATCACTCACTTCTATCTTCGCCTCTTTCTGAACTAGTACGTCATTCGGAGAAAGGCCTTTCCTTACGAGCGAACGTCGGGCTTAGACGACGAAGAGGGATTAGGACACACATAACGCACGCACGGCCCTATCAGCCCGTGTGAAGGTGACGAAGGAAAAGAGACATAACTAGAGACGGCGAAAACGCTACAATATATATCAGAAATAGATAATAGGAATGATATATATATGTGTATATAATTACAATATTCTGCTACAAATAGGATAACATTCTGCAAAAAATAATAAAACAAATAATATAAAGGTTAAAGAATGCGGAAGTAACACTATACAATTAAGAAGAAAAAATAAAACAAATTATAAGGGTCAAACAATTGTGATGATAGTAACAGGCCATGAAAGCTGATATTATTATTTTCACATTACAAGCATTATCGTCTATATAAAACATTTCGACACATGTATCTAGCGATTAATCCATGCGTGAAGCTTCCTAAGTCTAATCATCTAACACCTTGTTTTGAGAAAGGACGTTGAATGCACGTGTATCTAGCTAGAGTGGAATCTCAATTCACCTGTATTCACCAATTCGCCTATATCTAGCAGGCTAGGTGAGTGACAAGAGAGACAAGGGAAAGGACGGGAGGGAAT